AAAAAATTAAATACATAGCTTTGTTATGCGAAGAATGGCTGCTCTTTGTATCATATAAACTGTGTTGCTAAAGTTTCAGCTTTAGCAACACCAAATGTTTCTTTCTAAATCAGTTGTGGTCAAAACATAATCTGCTGATTTCAATCATTGTCCTTATTTTATTTTTTATTTCAATTTCACTATTTTTTTTCTGTAAACTCTACCTTGTGTTTTAACCCATGTCTTTATAGATCAATAAGCCCTATTGTTAGAACTACTAGATGTGCACAAGATCACTCAGGCAAGCTCTTGTTGCTGCAGATCCGCCAGAGAAGCTACAGCAGACTTGTCCAACTTGTCCCGTCCTGCTCTCCGTAGACAGCCCGGTGGCCATGGAAACCGCAGGGATCACTCTGGAGGCCTATAAGAGGCAGTCCACTCTGGGCGCTGGGCTTGGTGTGAAACGGGTCACCCGAGCTGCAGTTCAGGTACCGCAGTGGTTAATGCTGGCAGGAAACTAGGCTCCGCTCCTGAATCCATTGCTCAACAATGTATTGAGTGTTAGTTTTATGGGGAAACTGCACTGAAGATTAATCTTTGGGTGTGTTTGGGCAGACATTATAGGGCAGGCTTTTTCGCGTCTTTGGGCCAGTTGAAAAGCATTACCACTCAGCAGAAACTATAATGCAATGGAAGCACAAGGCTTCAAAGGATCAATGAGGATGTTTATGCCTGTATGGCTTGTGCAGCTTATGTTTGGGGAGCAAATACAGAACAGAACAGTTTCTTTGTAAACTAAATCTTTGTATATTGCCTCTCGTGGTAAATGACGGTGCAGCTGTGGGATGGAAACTAAAGGGTTATGGCCAGTGATGGTCATTACAGGACATTTCACATAAAAATACAACGGCTCTCCGACTGCCAGCACTTGTGAATGTATTTGTGCAGTTTGTCACATCATTTTATTACACAGAACGTGCCAAAAAAAGCGGTGTTTGTAGAGTACACGGTCCAGCAGTGTCCAGAGGGATTTACGGAGAGAGGGACCTGCCAGCGGCTGACTCTCAAATCAGACACACAGGTACTTCAGCAGGCACTAACCAGGTCAAACGTCAAAGGGTCGATCCATGAGTAACATCTGTGACTAATGTGTATGTTTATTTACTGCATCATTTTTTTTTCAATCCTCAGAGATGATCCTGCAGGAAAATATTAAATGTATTACAGTAAGATTGTTCTTCAACTTAGAAATCTGCTATTATGTATCATCTGTGTGCACAAATAAAAGTCAAATAAATTAGCATGTAAACTTGCACTATGAATGTGGAAAAGTCTAACCTTTAATTTGGGTACATGTAGTAATAATGCTCCCATTAAGAAATAACTTTCAGACAAAAATGACTCACATTTAGAGACACACTTGCACTGAAAATTATTATTAAATAAATACAATTTAATCATTTTTACTTGATAGTTTAGATTTTTTTTATTTTTATAAAAGATGAATTATGCCATGCTTCGTATAAATCTGACATGACACAGAGGCCAATTTATTCCACCAATCTCCAAAAATGGAAAGACAAGGAAACATGCTTTTTAACTAATGCAGATACAATAAATTATATTTTTCTTGTTTCTGCATTAGAGAACTGTCAGTTTTCTCAGTGTGGAATTGTTAGGCGAATGTACAAGGTGCTGTTATTCCCAGCAAAATCTTCCACAACCTCAGTCTAAAATTAAAAATAGTAATAAATAAGAGAACTAACACCCAACAAAGAATGAATGCACTGTGTTTTATGAATAGATTAAACAAAGTTGTTCCAGAGAGTAAATACTGCCGTCAACCCTCCTAACATTTTGAAGGTAATTTATGTTGTTGCCAAGCTTCAGTTTGCATCTTATTTGTTGTCACCTCAGCAATCCCTGGACATGTTTTTTTTTTTTTAACATGACAAGTTATTCTCTATTTTTAAGCTTTGAGTAGTTAAAAGGCTTCAGCTTAGGATTTTTTTTTCTTTTTTCTTATTTCAAAACTTTGGCAGGATTTATATTTATGCTGACACTCCATCTAAATACTTGAACAACTAATAAAAACACAAATTGTCTTTTTTCCCCTTCCCTCAGACGGCAGGTTTCTGTACAGGATCCGTGTACGGAGACATGAGCAAACACCCGGACGTCCAGGTGTCCTGTGAGATGTATAAGATACAGGTACAGTAACAAAAAATTCATGTTCTGTTGTTTTGTTGTATTTAACACCACATTATAGAGTCATTTCCATTGGAAACAACACAAATCAGTAATTAGCATGATTGGAACAAAGAGAAAGCATAAACAGAAAAGAATGTCGACATTTTTCAGCAAATTTTTCATTTGCAATTAAACAAATTTAAAATGAATAGCTTTTTTACCAACAAAATTGTAATAGAAATAATAAAAGAACCATGTGACATGAAATTACTTAAAACTTCAACAGAATGCAACATTCACATTACAAAGCACTAAAATGCCCATAATCCACCATGACATAGGAATAAATTGTTCAATAATTACTAATGTATGGTGAATTTTACACAAAATTGGGAAATATCAAACATGTTTCTTAGGGGACTTATAAATGTCCCCCTGTCAATTGTTGAAAGGTGATGTAAGCCTCATTCATCTGATTTATTTAGCAGATTTTTTTTCTTTCTTTGCTGTAAAATTTAACCATTTATATCTTATAATTATTGTAGAAATGTTTATGTCAATATTTAGCTTGCTGTTTTTAGCAGTAGTTTATGTGACTGTTTAGTGAACATACTGTTGCTTGGCACCCTCTCTGCTGCATGTCTGAACAAGCTGGTGATATGATAATTCAGTGGAATGTTATCCGTTTCTCTGCAGAACGTGGACATGGTCCAACCTGTAAAACCGCAAGTTCACGACCTCCCCATAGACCCCATGATCCCAACCTTTCCACCTCTGCCTGATGACCCTGTGATTGACCTGCAGCCCATTCCCTCTGACCCTCCAACTCCCGATGTCGCTCAGCCAGCTCCGATTGACCCCACAGCTATGCCCTCTCTTCCTACAGATCCCCCAGTTGTGGTTAACCCCTCCGTCCTTCTCTCTTCTTCCAGTGAGTCTGCTGAGAGAACAGTAAGCCAACAACAGCACACAAGGACTCTGGATTCTTCCTCTGAGGAAATTGGAGTCCTGGTGGCCCGGCTTCCACCGTTTAACTTCCGCTACCCGAGGCGTAAGCGTGACAAGAGGCAGAGCTTGACGGAGACTTCTCCCTCACACAGCCCGGTGTTCCTGTCTGATTTCCCCAGCGGGTCATCTCCTTTTCGATCCTGTCCTGGTCCGGCGCGATACGCCACAGCGTAACCAGTACTTCGCTGCTCAGAAATCCATTTACTCATGTATGATTTACCCACTGAGAGTCTGAACCGATAAACTGCTCCAATCCCTGTCACTGGAGGCTTGTAATAATTTGTGCTAATGAGAGGAAAGCATTTTTTTCTCTGTGGCCTTGAAGTGACCTCTCTTCTGTACTGTTGCTCCCAAAGCAGCTCAAACATGAATTTAAAAATGGTTACTCACATTTTAAGAGATTGTAATAAATCTCCAGTAAGCTACTTGAAGACAATAAAGAAGTTTGGATTTATTCTGTCTTTGTTTTTATTTTTCCATCTAAAAATATTGCTTTAGACCTGAATATTTCAACTGGTCAAATATTTAGTTTGATTTTGGCAAACCTATGCAAATATTTACTTTATTTTTAAAAAGTAATATCCCATTTTGAAAATGTTTATATTAAGTAATTTAACTGATGTTAGTATCAGAATATTTGTTTAATCTTCTGCCACTTATTATTTCTCTGTGGTATAATTACAACATATGTCTATATATCCAAGATGTGTGGGAAAGATAAAGGAACATGTTTTACAGGTGACAACCTTCACAACTCAAAATAGCATTTTGTGTAGCAATAACACTGAATAATAATAATAATAATAATAATAATAATAAAAACATCCTTAGTGCCTTGTATGAAAACTGCAATAACAGAAGATGGCAAAGGGTCAAAAGGACTAAACCCATCCATAGCCAAAGTTGGAAACAGCCAGGTATCGTAAAATGAACATAACAGTGCATTATTGTCTAAAACATAAAATAAAATACTTAACAACATAAAGTACAACATTTATGGCATGTTTTGTTCCAGAAATTGTGGCAGGAAACGACGAAATGGTAACGCAATATTAACTTTGAACAGCAGATGGCGGAAGTGAGCGTTAAAATTTATCTGCTAACAGAGCGTGTGGTTGCCAGTTAATCACTTCTGCGTCGTTGCAATGAAGGACGTCTTAGTGGAAATGTACTCATCTCACTCCTCCCCGTCAACGTCACTTTTAAATCATAAACTGTGGTCGCTGGATGAGCAATTACAGAACTTCCCACAGGTCGTGAAGGCAGCAGCCATCGTCTCCTAATTAAAGTCAGATTGTAACGGCGAGGAGGGGCTTCTACTTTCTACTTCTACTTCTCGAGACCCTGTAGCAGTCTTCCTCCCAGATGGACGAGTGAGTAGTTGGACCACTGTAAACAGCCTTTAGAAAATCAAAAATAGCTTATTCATAACGTTTCTGACTCGAGATGTCTGTTTTTTAAGCTGGAGGCATTCCTGTGGGATCTTCGCGGATCTCCCTTTTAAGTAGGTGAAACTTTTTCAGTGTCTTGTGCCTCCGTTACCGCTGCTTGTTTATTTTGTTCCCTGTGAAAAGTTTGGGTGTTCTCAAGACATTTCTCTTCACGTCTCAGGGAGCAGCTACATGTCGCGACATGTATGTAAAAGAAAGAAAAAAAACTCCGACTAATTCCGAGCTTTCTAGGACATTATTTCCCAAACAGTCACCGCCACAAAGTCGGTGATTCATAATTTTGAACAGGGAAAAACAGCTTTAAAGTTTTTCCTCGTTCTCGTTACACAAACGTTTCAAAAACCTCATCTTAAACATCGCAATGCCATTAAGGTTAAGTTATTTTGATTTAATTACAAAGCTGTTTGCTGTTACAGTTTCGAAGTAAAAATGTCCACTCGGATTTCCTTCTCTTTTATTCCTCTCCTCTCCAAAGTAGGACTGGTTTTAAAGTCTCTAATGATGGTTTCTCCTCAGTTTTTTTTCTAAAAGTCAAAATGGTTAGCACCCCAAACGGCACCATTTAATTGAAGAGGACCTTGTTGGGCGTATTCACACTGAAATGGTTATGGTGTGGAGAATGCCACATTAGGCCTTTTATTAAGTATCAAAACTATGTATCTAAATGAAGTTTGGATGGCTAACAAAGGACTTCACTTGGACAGGTCTTTACATTTTGCTCTTTTTAGTTGTTAGGGGTTACTAGGGGTCTTAAAATAGAGTTCCAGTAACAGCAACTTGACAGTTTTTGAAGAAGTACAATAATGCTATTTGATGAAACTGTCAATTGTTTGATATTTCCTTTAATTTCAATGTATCTTATTGGGCTAGACCAACACAAAGCAGCCAATATTTGTCAAGTGGAGGGAAAAGGATGGTTTTCAATTATGTATTTATTTTAATAGACAAATTTGTCAAGTTTTTCACTGCAGTTGCACATTCAAGTGTTTGGCTGTTTCTGACAATGTTCTGCCTCTAGTGCAGTGTTTTTCAACCTTTTTTGAGCCAAGGTACATTGTTTTAATTGAAAAAAATCACGAGGCACTCCACCAGCCAAAAATGTAAACAAAGATACTCTGTAGCTGCCTATATTGCATATATAGTCATTCTTGTCAAAGTGTCTTGAATAGGAATCAAATAAACACAAACATTTATTTTCATCATATTTTACATTTCTTATTTCAAATTGCACTTAACATGTCCACTTCAAAAATACACCTGAACAGGGCCACAACACTGTCGTGTGTGATGCATGAATTCATGAATTCTCTTGTTTTAATGTAAAATGCTCTGTACCTACTGCCATCTAGTGGTAATAAAATTACATGATTACGCCGCTAGTAACTACTACAGCAAAGACAATCAAAGATGGCATTATTTGCAGATAATTAATTTGTTTTCAAAAAAATCTTTCAAGACCAATTATAGTATTTTCCGGACTATGAGCGCTCCATACTATAAACCGTACCTTCACATTTTTTGGACACCCCTCCCCCCCCGGAAACTTACTCATATAAGCTGCACCGGGCTACAAGCCGCTGGTATCTCTGCCGCTCTCGATTTCCCATAAGGACCCAGCAAAGGGCAGCAGAGGGCTGCGTCCTAATATGTCCTGGATATATTAAGGACGCAGTTCTCCGTCTCCAAATCCGGTTTTGTTCACGCTGAGTTTACGTGCAGCAGCTTTATTTCCCTCCTGTACTGGCAGATCGATACTCCTCAACTTAGAAGCTGCATCATATGAGTTTGAAAACATTTCTCTGTTGTGCCTGCTGCTAGCATGTGCTTGTTCTAAATGAAAATTAGCCGTTCTTTGATTTCCAATTTTGACTTCCAAAGATTCACTTCCTGCTAAAGAGCCCCCGGGTGGTTGAAGGAAAATCCACAGAAAAGCCGCATGATCAAGGTGTAGGAAAGTAGTGGCAGCTTATAGTCCGGAAAATACGGTTGGTGAAATTGGATAATTTCCACGGCACACCTGACGATCACTCACAGTACACTAGTGTGCCGCGGCACAGTGGTTGAAAAACACTGGACTAGAGCATGATATTTTTTGCAACATGAGGCGGGAGTTATTTTTTAAGCCAATATGATGACGACATACAGCCAGAACAACCAATGAACTGTTTAAATCAAAGAATATTAATGTTTTAAAATGGCCTAGTTTTAATCCAGAAAATTCATATCCGCAGATGCTCTCCTTCAAATCCAGTTGAGCTTAATTTTGTGCTTCAAATATTTTGCAGCCTTTTTGTTTTGTGTTTTCTATCTGTTTAGCTCCATTTACAGCAGGTTTGACATTTATCCCAGTCCAAGCTGCAGAAAAGCATCCCTGCCTCGTGCTTATATGTGTGAAGGGTGATTGTTGATTACCCCAACATAACGTTGGATAAAATATATTGTCGGTTGTGGTTGTTGCATGACATAAATGTGAAAAAGTTGTAGGGACATTTTGACTTGTATTCAAAGTATGAGGAAGAAACTAAGAGATATGAAGGGTAGATTGTAAAAACTTAGTTTGTTATTGGATGCTTACCTTTCTGTGTGCCAGTTGTACCTTGAATGAACATTTCTCTTGCTCAGGGTAGATTTAAATTGCCACCTTATCCTTATTTCTTCTTTTGAACAATGTTTATTGAAAAGAGGTCATCCTATCGCTCAAACTTGACTTCATCATTAGGCATTTGAATGACTCCAGCAGAAACTGCTCTGCTTTGTAGTTTAAACCCCGGCAGAGTGACGCTAACAAAAAAGGAAAAACATGCAGTCAGCTCTTTGAGTGAAAAGACTTCAGCTGGTAAGTGAGGTCAGAGGAGTCATTGAACAGGGAGGCGTAGCAGTGCAAACACCATAACTCAGTGCAGTGGTATGTGCACTGTTTTGATGGTCTGTGGAATTTTGCAGGCATTGCAATAATCCTTCCTCTGACATTTCAGTGGCATCGAGAGGAGTAGCAGGTTGTGTGAACATCAGTCCTTAGTCTGGCAGGTGAGCATTATTTTAATTCGCAGCGCGCAGAAGCAAAACTTGAATCCAGCAACAAAAAAAAAAAAAAACAAAAAAAAAAAATCCTGTTTAATTTCTTGGTATTAAACAGGATGTGGCTTAAAAATGCTACCAATGTACTGACTTAAGTGCATTCTCGGCATTTTTCTTGTGCTTTTGGATTGATTTTGGGTTAATTATTCTCAATAATGTAAGCTTTTCAACCATAGACATTTGATTTAAGAGTCAGGAAGTGTGTGTGTGTGTGTTTTTTCTCTTTCTCACAAGCTTTGGTTTCAAGATCTATGTGACGGTGGAATCCACAGATAGCAGTGTTCAGTGTTTCCTGGTGGATGTCACAGACGGGGTGTGTGCTGATTCGGGTTGCTTAGAAAAGGCTTGTATTCCTTCAGTGTTGGCGGTTGACAGGAATTCCTGAAGTGGGATTCCTGTGTTTACTTTGGCTCCCATCAGGACTGCTGGCTGGTCATGTATTGCTTCGTTTCTCTGCAACATTTAAAGGATAGGGAATTTTTACATCATCTCCGTCAGAGGTAGGACTTATGATTTTTCGTCTAAATAATGTAATGACCCTCTGTGCTTTCTGATCATGGGAAAACATGTAATTTTCTTCACATTGAAAATCTTCATAAATAGACCTGCATTATCTGTAAGATGATTTAGCAAAGGTTGAGTACTTAATTGAAGGAAAATGTAACTTGAAATAATTTAATGTATGTTAAAATAAATTAAATATGTGCAGAATTTGTTAAATTTATTGTTTTCTTCATTAATCAAAAGTATAATTTACAGATTAACTGAGGTAAAATGTAACATGAAGATGTTTAATCTCATATTAGGGCAGATTTGGTGATATCACAATATGTTCCTATAATAAACTTTGTTCTATTCACATCTTTGTAGCTTTTGGCTCCTCAATATTAGGAGTTTGTTTTTCAGTTCAGCTCATCTGTGTGTGT